GATCGCCCCTTTTCCATGGAATCTAAGTATACACTGCCCGGATCAGGGAATGAACTATGTCATCAAATTCATGAACCAACGTTTTAAATCCACTAGGGTCTAGAGACACTAGCTTAATGGATTAAAGGGTTGGTTCGTGGATTTTGTGACATACTCAACTCAGTTTTGTTTATTAAAAAGTCATCAAGCTCCATGCAGATTTCTGTAGTTTGTATCACAAGCAACACTGAAAGTTTTTAATAACTTATTCTTTCGTGCGAAATAATAACTCCCTTCACTCACTCCCTTCTTCAAATTCAGAGGACTGAGAAAGGAAAAAGAAAAGAATTCGCGAGACTATGTGAAATTGTTTTTGGTCTAATGAAAAGCTTATCTTCACAGAAATTAGCCGGTCAGCTAAGAAGAAGGAAATAAATTCGCGAGCCTACGCGAAATTCTTTTTAATATAAGATGAGGAGATAAATTAAATTAATCAGAGAAGTGTGTCTGAAGTTACGTGAAAAAGGTCTCGTTTCAGTTCCTCACTAACAGCGTTGAAGTTCTGGCCAGTCTAAAATTACTCGCCACTTACAGTATCGGCCTTTAACCATTACGCGGCACTTCAATCATTTTCTCCCAACAATTTAAGAAAGCTCACTATTTTAAACTATCTCTCTTCGTTTACTTTTGAACGTATGCAAACAATATATCCCATCAGTGAGTAACGAACTTTTTTTAACTTTGTCTTAAACATTTCTGAATATTATTTTGTGTCAGATCATTTTGTCGCGGCCGCCTTTGCCCGCTCCCTAAAGAGGAAGAGAACAGGGCATTTCAACCTTGACCTTTCAATCGAGTTCCCTATACGCTGGTAATTTCATTTTAGAGATGAGCTAATTACCTTTTAGTTCGTTGGTATTACGAACCTAGTCGTAATACAGATCTTAGCATTTTTAGACCTTAGTTTTTGCGTAGCAAATCTCAACTCATTTTTTAGAGAGATTTTTTAGCATTTTAGCGAGACCATGTCTGTTGTTGGTCTGCCTTAGCATCATATAGCGACTTACCTTTCTCGGCCTAGGAAGGATTTCTGTCGTTTGCTAGTGGAGGGGGTCGCGAAGGATCCCCTACGCGAGGATCTCGACATGTCGGACGATGAGTTTCGCTCTCACTGGTCTTGGGCGTCAGCGGCGGATTACCTCAGTAACCCTGAGTTTTCGCTTACCTGGTGACTGGCTCGGAATTGGCTGCCTCTCAACGACAGAGCCTTCATATGGGGCTTGGCGGACTTGCCAGACTGCGATCGGTGTGGCCTTGGTCTAGAGGAAACGGCTTGGCACGCCTTCTTCCATTGCCCCCGGGTCCGCCCCTTATGGGACCATGTCGGCGAGCTGACGGCTCGTCTCGCTCCCGAAAAGCTTGTGCCCATGGATCGCGCATACGCGTGTGACAATGTGTCGCCCCCGTATTCCGGGGTGAAACGGATGATGTTTCTCACGCTGCTAGCCACGGCCCGAATGGTGATATGGACGACGCGAGAGGAGGAAGTCTTGCGGGGTACCCGTTTTTCTCATCAGGATCTGATCCGATTCTTTGAGCATCAGCTCAAGATAAAGATTAGAACTGATAGAAAACGCTTGCATTCGACAGTCTTCAGTGAAAGGTGGGTGACTGAGGCGAGCTTGGTTCATGTGAACGGGGCTAGCCTTGATTTTAGGTCAAGCCTACGTTACATCGGGGTGGCTTCCTGTGGTGCCCTCCCCTTAGCTAGGTTAGACAAGCTTTGGTGTACCTAGTTAATGCGAGTAAGTGTTGTTCCCGGCCTGCCCCCCGGCCACATCTTTAGTTATGATCCAGCCTGAGATTCCCAACCTCCCCAGTTTGTTTTTTGGCCCCCTACTCGACTGGGTCAGCTTTATACTTCCCCATGCCCGTATGATTTTTTATCACCTTTCCCCACTCCCTTAGCGAGAGAGCTGCTTGATTTTGTTCCAATGGGCAGAATACAGTGGTCTCCCTGCCTTTTGAGGGTTGGACGGGCCCTACTAACATCAGTTAACGTTTAATTTCATTTATGTTAATATTTTAGTTCGTTATTGGGTTCATCTCCCCCCTCTCATTTTTTCATCTTAGAATTTTTGTACATATGTGTTAGGATCATCAAATTATTATGACACGGGGCGCGTTTTGTAGGTCTCCCTAGAGTGGATGTGGTATTATGGTGCATGGAGGATCGATTGGCGACGGACGAGTTCTTATGGTGAATGAGTAAATTGTAATATCTGAATGGGTCGTGAATCAAATTAGCTAGGTATAAGATAGTGAAGACCAGCCTTTTACCCCCTCCCCCTTTTCGGCCTTGTGCCACAATTTTGTATTTTACAAAATAAATCCCGGTCGGCGCCTGAACGGTCGGTACGCAGGCTCCTGGCCTTTTATGGCCAGGACGCCGACCAGGGCTGCGTATTAATTTACGCTCCCATTTTTTTTGTCTGACAACTGGACGCGAGTTGGAACTACGTTTCTTTCTTTCTTTACTTCGCCTTCTTACTTCTGGCTCCTTGCCCATGTTCGACTCTCGGCATTCCGTCCCTACTGGCTGCCCGCACGTCGTCCGTAACCTTTCCCGTACACTACGGTTATGATTATTACGGGAGGTTTCGATATCGGACTCGACCAGCAGACACGCAACGCCAGTACTGGATATTCGATATGCCCAACAACAGCGCAACGACAGCTACCTGTTCCTTCTCGACATGTCCAGTCCACAAACCAGACCAGCTAACCAGCAGCAATCATCTACGGTGACCAGCAGCGATCATCTGCGACGACCAACCAACCTTTCCCGTATACTATCGGTTGTAATTACTACGGGAGGTTTCGACACCGACCTCGACCAGCAATGCCTGCACCTCGACTCCAACCGTCGACACGAGCGGAACGTCTGCACCTTGACTCCAACCGTCGACGCGACCGGAACGTCTGCATATCAACTCCAACCGTCCACACAACCGGAACAAGCTACTCAACTGCACTATTTCAAGCAAGCGTGTAAATTTCTTATTTTGTTTTGTTAAAAATACCCGCGTGTTTCCTCGTTATTATCATCCTTTATTAGTCTTCTTGGCGTGGGTAAATCAACTGTCCATTTTAACTCCTAAGAACCCCACGCGAATTTATGAATATTCGGCAATGGCAAATTCGGTAACGGAAGATTCGGTAACTAACAGAAGAATATTCAGTAATTTTGACTAGGTAGGAAAATTTGGTAACTTTGAAATAAGAGTCGATAAAAACGTAGGGTCCAGATAAACCCCCACACTACAATACCAGGGCCGTACTTGCAGAAATGGGCTTAAGGGGCTAGGTCGTATTCCCAATATTTTTTTAAATTATTATTAACTACTGGAGTTTAGAAAACCCCACTACAACAAAGACCAGGTCCGTACTTCTTGAAAAAAAAAATTTATAAAATGTTTATTGTTTAGTTTATTCTTTCTTTAATGAATGTTTGATTACAAAAACTTAACTTGTGGCTTTCTGCGAGGTAAATAAATAGTAGATATTTTTTAAAAGAAATTTACAAGAAAAGACATTTTTTTACAAGAAATTTGAATCCAAAACTACAGCTTTTATTATTTGACATTTGAACATGTTGCTTTTTTTGTAAAAAGAGGCTACTTACTTCTCGTTTAGTTTTACTGTCTTTAAAAAAAAAAGGTAATATACTTGTGTGAATTGTTATTTGTTGTTGTAAATTTTGAATGAATAAAGTTCTTCAGGAGAAAAATTACATAGTTCTTTTTTTCTTTAAAAAGAAATAACTATCTAAAACTTTATTTATTTTGTACGTTTTTATTAAAATAATTAGAAAAAGAAAATACAAGAACTTTAACTTAGATAAATAAATCGATTTTGCTTGAAAACAATTTAGATACTTATTCTAAAAATATTTTTATTTAATAATATTGGAGGGTGTGCTTAGCTCCTAAACTCCCCACCCAGAAAGTACGGCCCTGGTAATGTTGCAGTGGGGCTTTATCTGGACTGGAACCCATGATTTATTTTAGTTTTATACTTAAACGTAGGAGGGGCTAGCACCCTACAGAAAGTACGGTCCTAATATTTGTTGTAGTGGGGTTAAAACTGCCATAAAAAATATTGGGGAAGGAGGTCTAAGCCCCACTTCTGCAAGTACGGCCCTGGTATTGTTGTGGGGTTTTATCTGGACCCTACAATTAAGTTATTTAAAAATATACGGAAGAGCCCTAAAATCAATTTTCAATCAGAATTTCCTACCTACCGAATTACCTAAATTTCTGGCGGGCATTGCTCCACGACACTAAGATATTTGGAATTTATTAATCTCTAGCTCAAAAAGAAAGGCAGAACATTGTATTGCACAGGAATTGCTGAACTGTATCAACTTTTGATACATAGCACACAAATCTACTCTCAAATTATTCCATAATGTCATTTATTATTTTTAACAGCCAGCGACGTTGTTTTTTCCTCTCAGGTTGCATCGTGTGGTTCAGAATCGAATCACTTTTTTTCATTTCATTTTTTTTTTTATTTAATCTCTCCAGAATCTAAAAGTCATAAAACTGAGTGTTAACATGAGAACAGATAGATTATGATGGAAAAGCTTCCCCTGTTATTAAGGAATCGTTCTGTTGATAATAGGAGGAGTTTATGCTTTTTCCTGTGATCTTTAACTTGAAGAAAAATAATTCCTGATACGGAAGGCCTTTTAACTGCTAAAAAAAAAAACAACAAAGATGAAGGCGATAGTGACTCGTCTGAAAAATATAATGTAAGTAGTAAGTCTGTAAGTTCATATCAAAAACTTGAAATTAGAAAATGGAAAGAAATCATTGTCAAATTGACCTATGTATAACTAAGGGAGATAATTCAGTATAGTGTCGCTCTCTAAACAGAGTCTATCCAGATCAGTAAGTTTATATCGTTCGTGACAGACGTTGTCATTATTGTTTAAGAAAAAATAAGATAAACAAATCATGGTAGGAGTTAATATTAAAGTTGGAGCATCTAATTCATCCAAACCAAACCTGAAAAAAAGAGATGGAACCGCAGAAAGTGCCTTCGATCTCGAGCAACATTTTATTCTCAGATTACCTTTGGTAAAATTCATTTTTTTTAACATTTGGATCAAGGGGTTTTTCAAGAGAATACTACTCTGTTTGATTTTGTTTGTATTTTCTTTTTTAATTGAACTGAAATTATAATAGATAAATTCCGTAAATAAATATACTATTGATAGATATTGTATATTTTTATACGAAAATAAATCGTTTTTAAATTATCACTACACGGTACTAAAATGTTTAAGTGCATATAAAAAAAGAAAAAGCTAAAAATTAAAAAGATTTACAATTTACAATTATTACTCAAGCATTTCTTTTTTATTTTGTCTCATGAATTAGTTGAAGATTATTTTTGTTAATGAATTATGAGACCTGAACAACCGTGGCAACCAACACAGTCAAAAAACTCAAAAGGTTAAAAATTTAATTTTTGTCCATAACACAGATCCTTGTAATCAAGTAAAAAAAAAAGCAATGCATTATTTTTATGCAAATCATAAATCATATTTTCTATTTTAAGCCAAGATAGATTAGCTTATCTAGATTATCAATTATATCTGAATCCTATTCTTTTTTCTTTTTTTTTTTTTACAAATTCAGTAATTTATTTCATATAAAATTTTGTCTTACTCTTGTGCGTTGCTTTTTAAATTCAACTAAAGATTTTTAGGAGAGGCCCTAAAAACAGCATATTTGGGTAACTTCCTTATTTATTTTTTTACTATGTCTTTCTTTATTTAATTCTTGGACTGATTTTGAAATATTTTCAAATTGAAATTAAATTTTAAGAATTTAGGGATTTTTTATAAACTTTGTTAATATTTGTAATAATCCATCACAAATTATGCACAACAGAGGTTGGTTAATGATTGATATGACTTTCTTTTTTTTTTTTCAAATAACTTTTCTGTCATACTTCTTTGTCCTTTACTCATCTGAACATAAAATATTTTGAAATTGTTTGGGGATCTGAATCATAAATTACTTTCCACTTCACCATTATTAAGCAGATAGTAAATCTGAAATCATTTAAAAACATTCTAAGTAAATTTCAACAAAATCTAACATACACTTGCTACAAATATGTTATTTAAAATTAAATTTGCTGGCCTTAAGCAAAATAGCAGTACTAAACACAGAATAAGATGAATTGACAAAAATTGCATGACTAAATATTTTTGTAACAGGAAAAAATTAATGCATGTGCTTTTACATTTTTAGATGATTCTTTAATATTTTTCGATCTTCTACTGACTCAGGAAGTCATTTTGTAACTCATATTTTGTTAACAACTTTGAAAAATGTTGAGAGCACATGGACCTACCTGAAAATATTTTGCCTGCTAACCACTTAATGAATAGCCAACAGATTATGAAAGAGCAGTGGATATTGTCACAGTATACTCACACTAGTGACTAATCTCTTATTTGATGCAAATGTTCATCTGTCTTGAGTGGCTTGTTCTTTTATTTAAAATAAAATTAAAATTAAAGATAGAATTTTATTTTCTTTTTATAAATGTTTGTTTCATTCTGATGCTCAAATGAAGAGAGAAGAATTACAGTGAGTGTGTTTTAATAATTCCTGGATATTATCATAATAACACAAATGAAATAATTGTGGATATGTCAAAAAACTTAAGGAAGCAGTATGAATTATATTTTTATTTTAAAATTATCTTTACTAGCATAATACTTGTAAAAAAAATGACAGGATTATTTATGTATCAATCGGCACTTCTGCCTAATATCAGAGTATCTGTACTGCCTCCATTCTGTGAAAAAGTGGTTCACCATCATCAATCCTATTACCAGGTGTGGTCATAGTTTCCCTGCACAGCTGAGCATCTCTCTCCATATGTCTTGGTTGTGTGCCAATGTTTGAGTCTCTGTGAATGATCTTCTAGTCCACTCAGTGAGTTTGTCATACAATTTTTTTCCTCCGTCTGCCTCTTTTCTTCTTTTGGCTAAGTTGCTACCTTGTTTGATGGCAGTGAAAAGATTGTTGGCTCTTATGATGTATCCATACCATTTTAACTTTCTCTTCTTGATGGTGGTGATGAAGTTTTCCAATGGAGCTTTCTTGTGTCTGTGTGATACAGTCTGTATAAGAGATGCTTAGCATGGTTCCATAGCAACTCATTTCTAATACTTCGATTTTTCATTGTAATTATGTGTGGTGAACATCCCCGTAGAAGCAAGCGAGCCAGAGTGGCTTGCATCTGGTGTATAGGAAAATAAGGGTCTTACCTTAATGTGCAGCACGTGACATCAGCAAGTTTGCTTTGTGAAAATGGCATTACTCTCCCGTCCAGCCATTCTAGCAGTATGTGCAAGGATGAGGGTTTTTTGTACAGTTTGGAATGCTTCCACCAATAGCAAGTTGTGTGCTAATTGGTCGAACTGGAGGAGGCAATTTGCCTGTGTAACCGAGAATAACAGCGAAGAACGATGATTGGCTCGGGAACCATGGTGTTTGCCTGATAAAAGAGTATTGGAGCCGTGAAAGGAAAGAAACGTTGGCTATATGTAGTGACGTGTGAAGAAAGCGAGGACGGTGAATTGAACCAGCAATATTGTGATTTGTACAAGTGACTGCTGGGAGAGCAGTAGACTTATTTAGTTTACAAGCTATTTCGGCATTTTCTCTAATCATGGTGGACAGAAGTTTCGATATCAGGCTGATACCTGAATTCAGTGGAGCTGCTACCGATCTACCAATTGTAGAATGGATTGAAAATGTGGAGTTGGTTTGTGAACTTTGCGAGATGAAGAAAGTCGAGCGGGTATTGCCACTGCGCTTGCGAGCCAGGGCTCTCTGTATATCGGCAACTGACAAAGGAGCAGAGGTCAGATCCAGAGAAGATTAAGCAGGCCCTTATAACTGCATATGCGGTGGATTCATTCACTGCGTATGATCAGTTTTGTGTCACGCGACGATTTCGCCAGGGGGAAACGGTAGACAAATTTTAGCAGAGCTGAAACGGCTAGCTTTGTTGGTTGGCGGCCAACTGCCTGAACAATGGATGACGTGTGCCTTCGTTTCTGGACTGCCGCAACAAGTCAAACAACTTCTACGTGCATCATCCAGAATGGACACTATGACGTTGGACCAGATCCTGACTTGCGCTTGGGCCATTATTACCGATAGCAAAGAGCCGGATGAGTCAGTTGCCGCAGCAGCTCAACAGATTAATATAGCAGCTCAACGGACGGGCAGCCTTGTGTGCTTTAAATGTTTTGGTCCCAACCACCTGGCAAAGGATTGCAGGCAAGGCCACTCGGAGAAGACAGCTACCCAGACCTGACGATCCCACCGTGGGATACGGTGTTTTCGGTGCAACAAGGTTGGGCACATTTCCTCAGACTGCCAGGGAAATGGATCCGGGGAACAGACGTCAGTGCCGGTCTTTTCTCCAAGCAACACGGCGCTACTTATCATTGAGGTGGCCGTAAACGGAAAGAAGTGCACGGCCCTGGTTGATTTTGGGTGCTCACAGACGTTGGCGAGCAAATGCGCATGTCACAATTGGCGACCAATGAAGACACAAGTCCTAACTGCCGACGGTAAGGCACTAAAATGCCGTGGACAGGGCAATATTGCGTTGAATGTTAGTCGTGCTCAACCCGTGTACATTGATGCCCTAATTGTGGACAGACCACTACTTGGGTTCGATCTTCTTCTTGGGATTGACGCAATTAAAGAATTAGGAGGAGTGCACATCAATTCCTCGGGAGAAGTCCAATTTTCTGGAGACGAAAGTAAGCCCCAATGTGCTGCTATTTCTATCATTGAACCTGACTTTAGTGTGGAGTTCGACTGCCATAACAAAGTATAGACAGCCTCATGGAAGTGGACCAATGGACAACCGCCTATAACCCTGAAGAATAGAGTGGCTGAATATTCAGTACCTGACTATGCACGGGACGAATATGAAAGAGAACTGCAGTCCTGGCTGGATAATGGATGGCTGCGACCATACCCCGCAGACGAACTTGGTCCACCGAAGTGTCTAATCCCATTAATGGCAGTGATACAAGAGAGCAAGCAGAAGGTCCGTCCAGTACTAGATTACCATGAGTTGAATGGTTTTGTAGAACCATATACTGCTAACTCAGAGGTTTGTGCACATAAGTTACGAGAATGGCAACGATTGGGGGCCGATGTATCTTTGTTGGACTTGCGGAGGGCGTATCTGCAGATACATATGGAGAAGGCACTGTGGCCCAATCAAACTGTCATAGTGAAGGGGCAAAGATATTGCCTCACTCGACTGGGTTTCAGTTTAAATGTGGCACCTCTCATTATGAAAGCCATAATTGACACAGTATTATCGCAAGACAAAACCATTGCGAATGCCACATCGGCATATGTTGATGACATTTATGTCAACGAGAGTCTCATTCCTGTTGCACGTGTGAGAGAGGTGTCCAAGTATGGACTAGTGTGCAAGGAACCAACGAGATTAGAAGACGGAGCTAAGGTGCTGGGCTTACAGGTCTGGAGTGACAATGGAACTCTCCGATGGAGGCGAGGTGGAGAAATCCCGATATCCCTGTAAGGATAACTAGATCGCCGGCCGTATTCTCGTTATGTGGAAAACTTGTGGGCCACTTTCCCGTTTGCGGCTGGCTACGAGTGGCCACTGCATTTCAATGAAACGACAAGCAAGCGCTCTAACCACAGGATGGGATGATGAAGTCAAGAATGCCTCTATTAATTGCATGTTAACCGACATCATGGCCAGAATACATTGAGGCCAATCCAGTAGGAGGAGACTGGTGTGTGAGTGGGAAATGAAATGAATGTATGGGTGGATGCAGAGTTCTGTAGCCACAGGTGTCATTATTAGAGGTAGATGGAAACGTTATTGAGGATGTATCGTGGCTATGCTCGGTTGGAGATGCTAAGCACATCAATTTGGCCGAGCTAGATGCAACAATAAAGGGTGTAAATTTGGCTCTTCGAAAAACCGGACACCCGGGTATAAAAAGGACCCTGTACTTTGTTAGGTTGATAGACCCTTCAGTATCATCAGAAGTGGTAAAAGCCGTTGTCAAGGAATGTGAGGCGTGCCAAACCATTGACCTGGCTCCAGTGCATTGGCGAAAAGTAAAGCTGAACGTGAGGGACAACTGGAATAGGTTAGCGATAGACATCACTCACCATGGTGGTAAGCACTTTCTGACAATTATTGATTGTGGGCCTTCTCGGTTCGCAATATGGCGTCCACTATGTCAACAAGATTCTACTAACGTAGTTCGGCAGTTAGAGGCAATTTTTTATGAACGGGGTCCACCACTCGAGATATTGACAGACAATGACACAGCATTCACATGCAAACATTTCAAGAATTTTTTGAGTAATTGGGGTGTACGGTTGCGGTTTCGGTGTGCCTATGCACCTGCCAGGAATGGTATAGTAGAAAGAAGTCACCGAAGCATCAAAACCATTGCAGCTAGAAAGCAGTGCTCTATACTGGAGGCAGTTTACTGGCATAACGTTTACACCTACAGATAATCATTCGCCTAGCACTGCACCAGCTGATGCACTTTATAGGTACCATACCCGTGTATGGGGCAAAGAGGCTATATCCCCCATTGAATCGCAGAATATTCAAGGAGCATATGAAGTGGGAGACGTCATTTGGGTGAAAACTCCACACGGGAGGTGCACGACTAAATTTAAAATGGGTCACGTGACTCAGGTTAATAGCCCACAGTCAGTGCACATTGATGGAGTTCCACGTCATGTGAAGGACTTGTGTCCCTTTATGGGAACGGTCTCAACAGATACACAGGACAGCGATTCTGAAGAGAGTGAGCAGTTAGTAAATTTGAGATCAACCCTGTTAGGAGACACTGATCTCTCGCTTGATACTGAATCTGTTATAGACGATACAAATGGGGAAGACGACTCCCCAACTGTTAGCGTCCAAAATACTAATGTGGTACATCCTGCTATCTCCCCTGATGACAGTTCATCTGAAGATGAAGCTTGTGTTGCTCCACTCCCTCGACGAAGTACCCGGCAAAAACGACCTGCTCACGACTGTATGTTTTGTGATCATGAGATCAGGGGGGAGTGTGGTGAACAGCCCCGTAGAAGCAAGTGAGCCAGAGTGTCTTGCATCTGGTGTATAAGAAAATAAGGGTCTTACCTTAATGTGCAGCACGTGACATCAGCAAGTTTGCTTTGTGAAAATGGCATTACTCTCCCGTCCAGCCATTCTAGCAGTATGTGCAAGGATGAGGGTTTTTTGTACAGTTTGGAATGCTTCCACCAATAGCAAGCCGTGTGCTGAATGGTCGAACTGGAGGAGGCAATTTGCCTGTGTAACCGAGAATAACAGCAAAGAACACTGATTGGCTGGGGAACCACGGTGTTGGCCTGATAAAAGAGTGCTGGAGCCGTGAAAGGAAAGAAACGTTGGCTATATGTAGTGACGTGTGAAGAAAGCGAGGACGGTGAATTGAACCAGCAATATTGTTATTTGTACAAGTGACTGCTGGGAGAGCAGTAGACTTATTTAATCTACATTATGTTAATTATGCACCAACAAATATCTGCTTTATGTGGATAAATTCAGAAAGAAAAGTGAAGGATTTCTATTTAACAGATAAATTGCCTACTTATTACTGCCCAATTTATTTTATACCATGTTATATTGGAAGTAATGCATTTACTTACCAATATCTATACACTTTTTTTCTTTCTATCAGTAATAATATTGTCCTCTTTTTATTCTTCTTCTGTTTTGATCTTCACAGTTGACCATTTATAAAATAACGCTGAAGCTTATTTTAATTGAATCTTTTATGGAAGCAATCCAAATGATAAATATTGGTATTATGACTATTCATCATCCATTTATCTTCTATTTTTTTCACTCTTTGATATTCTTTATTATTTCAGCTGCTGGCAGTACTGTCTTAAATATGAATGAGTTGTAGTTTATGAAAACGAACAATATCATTTCGATAAACAAAAACATATACCAGTGCCTAAGAACATTGGCCTATATAAATACTTGAATTTGATTCTTGTTATTGTAGACTGTTATTAAGTTTACTAACTCATTTAACTTTTATTCTTTTATTGTTTTGTAGAGTGCAGCCCAGGAACTTCGAAAAGATGTTCAACTAGGGTCTGTTTCTTTGAAAGACAAACTAAGTATTGAAGTACAAAATGATCTTCGTCATGGTACTGTGCGATATGGCTCTGAAGTTTTTTCTTCAAAGGTAACTCTTTTTGCAATAAGCACATCACTTATATGATGCTGTGTTGTTATGTGTTCTAGTTGACAGTGTAAATAAAAATATGGCTTTAAGAAATATTTCATAAGCAAATGTAATTGTTGATGAATTCCAAAGTTTTTCAGCAAATGGTACACTTAATCACAGAAGACTGTGCTTTTCATTTTCAGCTCATTCAACCTAATTTACTAAATGGAAGGATTTCACTCATAATATCTAATAAAAACATTATCAGATTTTGACCAAATAAGATAACTGCAAGGAATCATTTAAGTTTTCATTACTCTGTTACAATTAAAATTAATCCACCTTACCTGTTTTCATGAGCAAATAAGTAAAATTATTTCGCTTCATAGAAATGTTTATTGCTTCAACAAATCACAACATTGATATTTCAGAATTCTGAAATGCAATTGCATTTCTTGGCCAACATTAAAATGAAATGAACTCACCTGTGGTGGTTTTAAATTAAATGCCTTTGTTAAGAATTTGTTGCTCATTTTTAATGCATGTTTTATGTTATATAGCGTAAAGATCTGTTAACTACAACAACCAGCCTATAAAATGGTACCTTTATTATTTTGAAATATTTATTTCAGTATACCATTGTCTATATTGCTCTTTGGAAAGGATTATGTAAAATAATAGCAAGATTCAATTTTTATTAAGTGGGATAACTTACCTTTTTTTATTTAATAATTTCACTTTTGTTGGTCACACACTGTTTTACTGCTTTCATACTAAATATCTGTATATTTATAAAGCACGATTTTGATTTACTTTTAAGATTATGGACTCTCCCTGCATGATGGAAACATTAAAGACAGTTGACCAAAAAACCTTCTACAAAATAGCAGATGTAATGCAAGTAAGTTTCTTTTCATCCTTTAAGAAGTTTGATGTGAAATCAATGAAAATATTTTAAAAATTTAATTCTCTTTTATTATGTCAGAAAGATAAATATTAAACAAAAGATTTACAATTACTTTTATGTTTAGTCTTCTGGTTTCAATAAACAATTATCACTTTTACTTACAAACTTTTCAAAGATTCTTTGGCTTTGTCATGTTTAGAAAATTGTAGTTCTAAAAGATTTTTCACCCATGCATACACTTCTTGTAGATGGAATTTTTATTTAAGCTAAAACCACAAAACATATTACAGACTTTCATATAAAAGTATTACTAGTAAATAATGTCAGCATGAATACATAAGATATGATAAAAAGGAGTACAGTTTACTAATAAGAATGACAATATATAGCTATGGTATCATTCAATACATTCCTTTGATGTTTTATATAGAGATTATCACAATTTTCTTACATCAATTAAGTTACTAAAACTATTTATCATTTTAGAAAATATTACATTTACATTTTATTTGTGTACAGTTATTGATTTGCACATATGATGATGATACAAGTCAAGATGAAAATGAAAGCCCAAGAAAAAAAGACAAAGATAAAAAATATCATTATCCTCATGGAAGTAAGTTGCTACTTTTTAATTTCATTTTAATCAATTTAATTCACCCAATATAGACAGATTTTGTTAATAAAAAGTTTAAAAATCCTTTTTAGAAATATTTCTCAAATGATGTATTTTGTAAGCAAAATTTTCTTATAAGCAGTTATCAATTTTAATCATTAAAAATTTTAACTGAATCACATTTAAAATAATCTGGTTATACCATTAATATCACTAGAATATCCTTTTTATATTCATTTTTATTATTTCAACAGTCTGCCCACCATTAAAAAATGTTCGCAAACGAAGATTTAGAAAGACATTGAAAAAGAAGGTATGTATTTTATCATTATACTTTAATTATTTTGAACTATTTTTCTCATCTTGGTTGTTATAGATGTTATAGACGCATTTTTGCCAAGTACCCTATGGCTATCATCAGGTGTCCATTGTTTGGTGGATATGGGATATCTCTTTTATCTCTAGTTGCCAGTTATTTTTTGTTCTTGCTGAACCAATGTTTCATTAACTGATTCAGGAATTGAACTGATGAACACTAAATGACAGTAAAACTTTTTAATCAATTCCTATATCCACTATGCTTCTGTCCCATTTTATCATGCTTATTATGTATTTTTGTAATTAACTTTAAAAGCTATAATTATTTATATTGAATGTTTGTTCATTCTTGTTATGAAAACATTTATTTGACAATAAATTTTCATTCACATATTTAGATATCTTCTGTAACTTGCAAAGTCATTTTTATGTTGCCAAGGATCCATTATCATAATTTTATTTAGACTATAAAAATACTGCATATTATATGAATATCTTCTTTTTATTTTATCTTGTAGTACACAGAACAACCTGATATTGAGAAAGAAGTGAAACGATTGTTTCGAATGGATGCAGAAGCCATTGATGTCAAGTGGGAAGTTTTAACAGAAGAAGAGAAAACATTGTCAGAAAGTAATAGCCAGAATCAAATTGTAGAAGCTTGTGGCACAGCAGCACCAGCAGAAGGTAACATTTACCCAAGTGAAAACAGCATTGGATTGGATATAGGTAAGATTGCAAATATAAAACTTATTTACAGCTCAAGATTACAAGTTGTTTTATTTATTATTTTTTCACCCAATACAATGCTTGAGAGCTACTCAAGGTAGAGGGTTACTGCTAAAATGGTTATGATGAATGATGGTGTGATATAAATGAAAGTGTAGGTGATAGAAAGTGAGGATAAGGGGAATATATAATGTGTGGGCAAACTTATGTCACTAGTAATGACTCTTGTAAATTACTATTTCACAGCAAAGCACCTAACTTGAAATTTATTTTCTTTCACATAGGTGAAATAGGAATGACAAAAGTCTGTCTATTTGATATTAAAGATTTGAAATCAAAAACTTTAATTTTTACTCAAATGTTTAGTTACAACTACAATTCCATAAAGTTATATAGGAACTTTTGCAAATTTGATTCAAACTCGAACGTTTAAATTTAGGTATAAGGCAGTGCTATTTCCCAAAGAGTTATTTTTGAAAAATGCAGTATCCCTATGTTATAAATATCAAATAAAAAGAATAAATGCTGAAAAAAAATGGTCCTGTATAATGCATTACCTCCCCTTTTATACAAAAATATTTTAAATATTTTTTTTTCCATGCTTCTATATTGGATTTCATCCATTAATAAATCTTCAAGTTTAATTGTCTATTTATTATTTAAAATTGTGAATAATATTGAATTATCTAAAATAAATTTTCATGTCAATAGAATTGGGTTAACAATAATTTCAGTTAAAATTGTATTTATTAATGTTGTCATTTCCTAGGTGGAGAAATGATTTGAAGACCCTAAAAATTATCTAAATCCTGAAAGAAAATGCTCAATAAAAATAAGTTTTATTTTCTTTGCTTTTAATAAAAAAAATCAAATTTCCTTTCATTGTCTATTCAAATGTTTTTGTCTAATTTATTTCATTGTTTTTACAAATAAATATATTTCTTTGTATCTTAGAAACTATATTCAGTAGGTAGGCCCTGCTGGATATGATTTCCTTTACAAATCTTTCATGTGCTAAACAATCATCCAACATTTACACTTAATAGTTGTTAGCAAAATATTTATATCCATTGATTGTCTCTTCTTTCATGTAATATATGAAGCTTTTTTGAAAGTAATGTCACATTTTTAAAGGAAATAAAATCCATAAATATTTTTTATATTTAAAAATAACAGGAATTTATTTTTCTAAGAATTTTATTCATCCATCAACAATTTGTCTAGAAATTTATTTCCATCTGAATTTCTGGAATGAAAACACTTAATCCACTTAGCTATTGTCCCACAAGGCAATAGCTTTGTGGATTAAAGCATTAGATATTGAATCTGGTGACATAGCAATTGTGAGTTCAATCCCTGGGACAGGCAGTGTATACTTGGACTCACTGGAAATAGAGCAAGCACTAAGTATATTGAATAAGAACTAGACAAGATATCAAATAGAATGAGAATAATCTATAAAGCAGAGATTTTTCAATCATAAGATCTCCTTCCACAGGAGTCTAAGAAAACAACACAATACTGTCAAAATATATATTCGCTTAAGGTGAAGTGGAAATGTGTTTTTAAAAAAAAAGGCATTTACTATCATGGAAGGTTTCATAAGATGTAATTTGTGCTTTGAGGAGAAAATAAGTATTATTGTGTTCTCTGAACAGAATAAATTATTGAGAAGAAAATCTGAGGTAATCTCCAAATGCAAGCATGAAAATAAGTCATGCCATCTAATATCTAATATGACCAGTGTGAGTATGTGAACATATTTATATGACTGATAAGGGTGATTTTAATATTTATGACTGTTACTTAATGGATTTATATTAGTTGCTGAAAAAAAAAAATTCCATCTCCAGTTGCTTTTCAGTTAGACTTGTTTTCTTTTAAATTTCACCAGTGTTTCCTTTTTGTAGTTTCAAAATTACTTTAATATTTCAGTTAGTGTATATAAAATAGATACTTCATTTTCTGCCATAATTACATGTATTTCAATTTAATTGAGGCAAGGGTATGTTACACTACAAAAAAGAGTCTCAGAATGGATAAAGAAGTGTACAAATTTATTCAAAATTTGCATTGCATGTAGTATCAACATTTTAATATGGATTAAATTATTGTTGTTAGGGTAGGAATGCTTTTAATGTATAGAATTTATAATGACTATATTAAACTGTACAGTTTAATATGGTCATTAAAAATTGAGTTCTGTAAAAATACTTCAAGAAAGAAAATAATTTCAAAATATGAACTATCCTAGATTATAAATGCCTTTCTATTGAGACCAGAATTCTCGTCATGGTTCTCGTACTCACAATATTTCGATCATTTTACTTTCTGGTCTTCTTCAGATGCCTTTTCTACACTAATCTTCTTGTAATATTGAATTGAACCCTTTATTCTTTTATATTTTTAACATTTTTATTTTATATTCACAGAGCTGTTGCTCTCTATTCATAAAATGTGGTTGAATTTTTAAAATTATATTATTTGTTTTTTCTAGAACAAGTATTTGGTGAACTGAGCAGCTCAGATGATGAAGACAAAGATGTAAATATAATGGACAGTGGTGAAGAAGAAGCAGCTATTATGTCAAGAGGAGCTGAAGCTGCCCAGCAATTAATTGATGGTTTGAGTCAGGCAGTTGCAAATGACCAGGACTCTGTACTTTTGACTAGTAATGAAGATAGTTTCTCTATTTCTGGACTTTATCAATCAATGGAGTGATATTAAAAGAAAAAATGAAATATCTATTTGAAGTGTAATGGTCAAATGTCAGTCGTGATATACAAAAAGTAAATTAACATAATTACTAACTTTTCCTATTATATGGAGATTTTAAATCTCTACTGAAGTTTGATTTTGCTTAATCAACATTTTTAAAGAAATGTGTAAACTCCATGTATATTTTGGTAAACCACTCTCTAAAAATAGACAGGAAAAGACCAATTTTTATATATTTTAGACTTATTCCAAAAGAAAGAAACATGTTTTTATTAGCCATTTATTTCAATATTTTTAATTAAAGTCAGTTACATTTCCTGATTATAATGATAAAAGTAATTTGTGGAAATTTATTTAAATTTTTTTTCATCTGATCTCAGTAACACTTCAGTAATTTTCGCACAGTGTTAGCATTTTTGTGTCCTAGTTTATCTTTTTATGGAAAGAAAATGGAGCTTTTCTTATTAAAAATGGTTTTCTCTGATTGCAAAATTCATTCTGATTTATCTTCAGCAATTCAAATCAATGTGCTTTCAAGCAAAAAGCTAAACCAAACTTTTATTTTTAAATAAATTTTTAAAAAAATTAAAGTTTCTGTATTTATTTTATTTTTACTTTCAACTCTTTTTTTTTTTTTTTTTTTTTTTTTTTGGTATGAACACTTTAGCTGCTGATATTACTTCTATATAAAATTAATTTATTTTTTATTTTAATTATACAGAATTAATAATTTTTAAATAAATTTCTTCATGTTAATCATAATTCAGTTAAATTTTTATTGAAACATTTTCATTTTTAGCACATACTTATAGCTCATTTCACAAGAATTTTGTGTCTATAAAGCCACCTCTTTGAAAATACCTTTCTATATACTGCCAAGGTATCACAAACACTTATATGATAATAAGCTAATTAATTTGTGAATTTGTAATAAATTTATTTTTGTGCATGAGATAATGGACACAGGAATTATTATTTATTTACTGTCATAACTTTATTATTTTAATTGTTTAAATATGAAAATTTTAGAATGGTAAGCTACCAATGAATGAAAAATATGTCTACATTTTATTAATGCTTCTCAACTGATTCCAACCAAACTGCATGATTGAATCACAATTCAGGTTTTTCAAATTGTCTTTTGTAAAATGTTTAAGAGAAGAAAACTATTTTAGTTTTTAGTTTTCCTTTATAACAATATATAATTTCAATTTTGCTGATGTTATTTTTTTTCTATTGAAAATAGTCAATCTTTTTAAAGCAGATATCTAAGCTGTGTGCAGTGAATAGACAACATGCACCATTTAGTCATGCTATGCTTTGAAAAAACATTGAACCTCTATATACCTTGATTTTTATAGATTCTTTCATTATACAGTAATGCTATTTGTTTTAATAATCTATAAATTGGCATATTAAATTTGCTGTAACTAATTAAAATTGATTTCAAATTAAGTTAAAATAATTTTTCAAATAAAACTGTTGCAGATTCTTTTTGTCAGTAATTTTTAAATTACATTTTTAGTTAGGCTGCTTCATCCTTTCTACTTTATATACATCAATAAGTCCCTAAAACCAAAAGTGGACCTCAGCTATTGTCTGCACACCATAGGTTGTATTTGACAGCAAAACTTAACCCAACATAATCCACACTTAACACAATGTTGAATCAGTTATGTCTTGGCCCTCTTAACAGACATACTTTTACTGCTCACTTATATATATCTGGGATTTTGACAAATGAAGATATCAAAATTAATGTTTTATTTAAAAATAAAAATTACATATGTAATTTTATGGCCTGTTTTTACTCATTCCATTTACCAATTCATTACAATATAAAATTATTTATTTGTTTATAGTCTTTATTCCATTCAATGTGAATAAGAGTCACTGCAGAAATATAAACGTATTTAACGTTACTAAATATAATATTGTACAGCATCTTGAAAATTTGGGTGTTATTGAGTAATTGCAGCATATATGTGTTCATAACATTGAAGACATTTTCATTTAATTCAACACTTCAATGTAATTTTTAAGAGTAGAGCCACCAGATGAAAAATTTACTTGAGAATAAACCAGTCAAAATATAAAATGCCTTTAAAAATATGAATGAAAGAAAATGAGTCTGAATAAAGGTATTGCTTAGCATTTATCTTAAACAATCAAGATTTCCTATTATAGGGTAATGGTTAACTTGTCTCGTAGAACAATGTAGTAGTTAGCATATTTTTATCTTTACTATGCGTCCTATTACTGTAGCCTTAGTAAATAATTAGAGTTGGGTTATATTAAAATTGTTTCTTTAGGCAACATGTTGAAAATACAACAAGGAACTCTCAAAAATGTTCCAAGATAAGCAATATACATTCAGTAGTTCTTTGCTTTTGTCTTTCTCTCTTTTTACACACACACACACACACACACATATATTAGCAGCATGGCAATGGTTTGGTGATTATCTACATGGGAACAAGAAAGCATGCATATTCCTGTAAATATTCACCTCTTACATTGCAATTAATCCTCTCTCTATGATGTTAAATTGCATTTTTAGTTGGATCCCTGTAAAAAAATGATAACTTGGAAAATTTATACTTTAACAACTTAAGATGATATAATAAGAATATATAGCTCAGAAGATGCAAGAATAAAATTTCATGAACTAAGAAATTTATATAATATATATATATATATATATATATATATATATATAATTATAAAAAGAATGCTGAGTCTATCACAAAGTTTCACATATACACACACACACACACATGTAGGTGTGTGTGTGAAAGACTCCATGTACTTATATAATAAAAAGAGAGAAACCACAAACGTTTTTGGTTGTAATGTGTTTTTTTTAAAAAAATACATTATGATTTATTTTCCATAATTTTGCTACACAGGTTTCTAGTCTCGCAACCTTCATCAGGTAAAGAGTGGATATTTCTACATATTATTAAAAGGAATTAATTTTTTTTATGTTTTTCAACGTTAAATATTCTCGATATTAGACATTCTCTTTTTTGTGTTAGTGACCCAAATGTCTTTCTTGAACTGGCAGTGAAAGAATTCTGCATGAAGGGTAATAAAACAATTAAGACTGGCCCGAGAGAGGGTGAGAAATATCTATATTCTTATCTTTTAATGACCCCTGTGTGTTCTTAGATCTATTTCCATTCTTTTGTGTTTTTGTCAGCATGCATATGTATACGTATATTCCACTTCATACATACATACTGTGTTATTATAAGGAATTAATATACACATATGTATGCATACACACACTTCCTATGTTGTGTAGGGTTACGTGCGTGCCCGTGAGCAGTTTTGTTTTTGTCAATATATATATATGTATATATGGTTTAAAATGTATTTTTAAAAATGAAAAATCTTCCTTGATGCTTTTATTTTAGTTTTAATTTCAAGCTAATAGATTAAATTTAATATTTTTAATAGGCAAATTTTAAATTGACTGGAATGAGGTTTTTTTTTATTATCAGTAATAATGCTAAAATTGGTCATATTCACAAATCTTGTCAACACGTAATTCTCTTTATTAAAAAGATTTTTTTTAAATAAATTATACTTTTTTGAAAATTTATTTGAGGAAAATTAGCTGATTTAAAGTTTAATTAATCTGATTTTAAACAAATATTACTTTTAGTTTAAAATATTGCAGAAAAGCGTTTTTTCACATGGAAGTGAGTGATTTAATGAGGTGTTGACAACAGTTGACAAACTTATGTTTGAGAATTTTTCTAAGGGGGACAATTTTTTCTAAGGGTAACAATTATGTGTATATAACATGAATACTTTTACATAATTTTTAACTACCCAATAATCTTAAAAATTTAAGAAAGTATTCTATGCAATCTAATATTGAATTTTATGTACTTTGGCTTTATAGTCTAACTAACAAAGACACTTGTTGAGGAAATGTTAGAAAATTACCAATAAATTTTAAATTTACTATAGTTACTGTTCTTTTTTTCTGATAATGTCATGTTTGGACATCTCTATTTACAAAAATTGACACAAAAATTTTAAATTCTTTTTAAAATATTGAGGTCATTGAATTGGAGTGAATTTTTTAATTTATTATTACTAAATACAGTTTTAATTTAATAACAATATCACTTGACCACTACAAATTAATACAGAATTTTAAAAGTTTATAGATTATTTTAATTAAAATTTAAAAAAAATGAAAACAGTTCTGTGTAAAAATTTATTATTCATCAAAATCTTTTTTCTTAAGACAATATTGTCTATAATATATTTTATGCATAAAAACGAAAGCTTTTCTAATTAAATAATATCTTTATAAGTTTTATTGCATTTTTTATTTTATAGTTTAAACCATTTTCTGTAACTGAGGATCTTGTTTGACCAAAAATAATTTAATGATTCAAATTCTCCAAGGATTTGTCCTTACAACTAATATAAACATTAAGCAATACAAAAAGAATTTCTCAAAATTTCATAAAATTGAATAAATAAAAAAAGGAATATTTCTAAAATAATTTAATTCACTTGTGAATAGGTTCTGGAAGTTTCATTAGATCCTGACAATTATTTTTGTAAGAATTTCCAAATTGGTGTGTCTTGCACTGCAAAAAGATGCTCAAATTTACCATACTAATTTATGCTCACTTGCTGACCAAAATTTCAAAGGTTCTAAAAAGAATTAAAAAAAAAAAAAATTTAATAATCAAAAATTCCTTTGGTCTTTCTTCTTAATAACATGAATATTTTGACAATAAAACTTTGTTTTTGTTAAGTTTGGGGCATTTTTTTCATCATGTATCCTCATTTTTTTACAAATCTTTGGAGATACCTAAGGAAGGGAATTGAGCCTATCATAAAGTTTCACATTGCATAGACCCATGTGACAAATGATCTGACACCAAATAATATTCAAAAATGTTTAAGAC